CCCTAGAGAAATCAGGTAATTCAGGGAGAAAAAAAAGGAAAGGAAATCTATTTAATGTTGGCAGAGATACTGAAAAGATACTGCATCTATAAAAGGAAAGGCAGAGAATTAAAAGAATGGAGTATAAACATAAAACATATGCCTGTCTGCCATCACCTTCTCCCATTCACAAAAAATAGAAAAGGCGGAGAAAAAGTCAGAGGAACAATCCAAAGGAGTGTAATGTTCCTAAACTTTCAGGAAAAGTCACTCCTCTCTCCCCTCCAAAAATCTATTCCACATACACACACACACACACACACACACACACACACACAGACACACATACACACACTCTCTCTCCCCTCTGCTCTCCCCACCCCTACCCCACCAAAGTGGGGTCTTGAAAGGACTCAGGGAACACAGGGCAAATGAAATAAAAATACATAGAGCTGTAGACACTTTTTTTTTTTTTTTTTTTTTTTTTTTAAATCTAGAGCAGAGGTTGCCAAATGAGGGCACATGGGTCAAATTCAGCAGACTCTATTTCAGCAAATAAAGTTTTACTGGGACAAATTCTTGCTCATGCAGTTACATGTTATCTGTGACTGCTTTTGTGCTCCCACAGCAGTTGAATAGTTGCAATAGAGACCATATGGACCACAAAGCCTAAAATATTTACTATTTGGTCTTTTATAGGAAAAGCTTGCCAAATCTTGATCTAAAGCTGTGTGATTTAATATAGTACAAACTAGCCACATGTAGCTGTTTAAATAAATAACCTAAAATAATTAAAATTAAATAAGATTAAAATTCAGTTCCTCTGTCATATCACTCAAATTTTAAGTACTCTATAATCATATATGTTTAATGACCATTATACTGGACAGTGTAGATACAGAACATTTCCATCAACACAGGAGGTTCTACTGGACTGGGCTCATCTGGATATTATCACGATAGATTACTTAACTGCATTTTAATTATTGCTTTAACAATTCCTACACTGAAAAAACATACGTAAGTGCTACAGTCTGAATGTGTCCCCAAAAAGCACCTGTTGGAAATTTAATTCCCAGTGCAATTTGAGAGGTGAGGTCAATTGAGAGGTGTTTAGGTCTGAGTGCTCCAAAATCATGAATGGATTAATGCAAACTATAAATGGGATTGAGGCAGAGAGTTCACTCTCTTTTTTTCTCTTGCCCTCTCTTGGGCCCTTCCACCATGTAATGACACAGCAAGGACACCCTCACCAGACACCAGCCCCTCAATCTTGGACCTTTCAGTTTCCTGAACTGTGAGCCAAAAAATTTCTGTTCATTATAAATTAACCAATCTCAGGTATTTTGATACAGCAGCACAGAATGGCAAAAGACACTCAGAGAAGCAGGAAGAATAAATACATTTAGAAAAACACAGAAATTCGGGGTTTTAGAAATAAAAATAATGGCTGGGCATGGTGGCTCATGCCTGTAATCCCAGCATTTTGGGAGGCTGAAGGAGGTGGATCACTTGCGCCCAGGAGTTTGAGCCCAGCCTGGCCAATATAGTAAAACCCCCACCTCTACTAAAAAAAAATAATAATAATAATACAAAAATTAGCTGGGCACAGTAACATATGCTTGTAATCCTCGCTACTTGGGAGGCTGAGGCATGAGAATTAACTTAAAACTGGGATGCAGAGGTTACAATGAGCCAAGATCATGCCACTGCAATTCACCCTGGGCAACAGAGTGAAACTCTGTCTCAAAAAAAAAAAAAAAAGAAAATAATTAATGCATAAATCTAAGACATCGTTGTATGAAAATATCACTGAAATAGATATTTCTAAAATCCTTCAAAGTCAGGGAGAAAAAATGTAAATTGAGAGAAAATTCAAAGATATAATACTACAAATGAGAAACTAAATATGATCATAGATATGGAAGAGATTATAAAATAATTCAAGATTGAGAATGTAATGAATGATATCAAATTTGAAAGTAATAATAAAAAAAGTTTCCTAAGAAAACAGAATTCAAAATGAGGTAGAATAATTATATAGAACAAGAGCCATTAGCAATGTTTTAAACTGTGGTAATAAATGGATCCAATTTGGTTCTGAGTTAATGAAAACAATGGTTGCTAGGATATCTAACTTTGATCTTATCCTGCAAGAAACTCATCAAAACATACTTCATATCCAGACTCTTAAACTGAGAAACAGTAGTCAAAATAATAAATTTCACTCTAATACTACCCATTGGTCCAGGAATTATATATTTCTTTAGAGAGGAGCTTTAGGAGCCTGGGGTTCCCTTCATGCAAAATCAGTAGATGTGATTTAAGAAGCTTCATATGGAATAGTTTAAATATTTGGCCTACTCCCGGGCTTCCACAATTATTCAAACTGAAAGGAAACTGTTCAAATGTCAGCCAAAATGTCCATGATAATTAGAACATCACACATGCTTTAACACAGTAGATTAATGCCTATGAGACTCTGGTTGACATGTAAGAGGAACACCAATCAGCCGTTATTTAATTCCTCATGTTGGCTACATGCAAATATGAAGAAAAGTCCCAGACTGAATAATATACAAACGTTGGACCATTCTCTGAAATGTCTTTTTCTTTTTTTGCTAAAAATTTTAATGCTTTTGTGTTGACCATTAAAAACATCTTGTTTGCCTTTATTTTTTCTTGTAGATAGATTTATTTGATGAATCTTGAACTAAAACATGTTCACCCTTGGGCGCATTTACCCTATTACACTGCACATTCTTAGACATGACTATACAATGGCTTTTTAAATTTTTATTTAAATTCCCCAGTTTTCTGTTTATACCTTAAAATCTACTAAAATTATGATGACTATAAGTACTCTTTTGCCCTGGTCAGTTCCAGCTTATTTCTGCATTTCCTAGCATCCAATATAATTCAGTATTTCAGCACTTTCAAATATGTCCTAAATAATCCACGGACCAAAGAGAAAATCAAAACAAAAATTAGTAAATATTTTGAAATAAATGATTAAAACATAAAATGCCATAGTTGTAGGAACAGCTAGAGCACACCCTAACTATATATGATCTATCAGAAAACACAGAAAATCAATAAATGAAGTTTTTAGTATAAGAAGGGAGAACAAACAAAACCTCAGCAAATCAAAACTAAGGAATGCAGAAAGAAACAAAGAGTAGTAATCAATTCAATAGTAGAAAGTAAACACTGAGAAAACCAATAAAGCCAAATTTGGGTTTTTTTAAAAAAAAAGATTAAGTGAAAACTCCCCAGCAAAATTTAACAGTGAAGAAAAAAAGAAAAGAAACTCATTATCAATTGCTGATATTTATTTATCAGCAATAAATAAAAGAATAAATTACTACAGTCACAAAAGGATAGTAAGAGCTCATTCCAACAACCATAAACTCTGAACAAAAGACAAAAATCAATTACATGAAGGCTCTACAGTTGTATTTTTGTTTTGTTTTGTTTTGAGATGGAGTCTCGGCTCTACAGAAACAAACATGCTGGGTAGTCAGACTTAGGTAAGACAAAATTGCCACAGGGTGAGTTTCCTGTTCTTACTAATTTAACCTGAGGTCAGCACAGCACAGTGTGGCTAAAATTCTGAAAGGAAGCCAGCTTCCTGAAGAACCTGAAGACACACACTAACCAATGGAAAGTTCAAAATGAAATCTGCCTAATTTATGTGTGACTTTATTTATTAATAAAGTGATGATGCAGCCGGGTGCAGTAGCTCACGCCTGTAATCCCAACACTTTGGGAGTCCAAGGCAGGCAAATTACAAGGTCAGGAGTTCAAGACCAGCCTGGTCAACATGGTGAAACCCTGTCTCTACTAAAAATACAAAAATTAGCTGAGTGTGGTGGCACGCACCTGTAGTCCCAGCTACTCAGGAGGCTGAGGCAGGAGAATCGCTTAACCCCAAGAGGCGGAGGTTGTAGTGAGCTGAGATCATGCCAGTGCACTCCAGCCTGGGCGACAGAGGAAGACTCTGCCTCAAAAAAAAAGATGAGTAAACATAGCAAGGAAAGATCTTTCTTTTAATAAATGGTGCTAGGTCAATAGGATACCAATATAGGAAACACAAACGCATCTTTACCACTACCTCACACCAAACACACACAAGTCAATTCCAATGAAGTGCAGACACAAATATTAAAAGTAAAACATCAGGGCTTTTAGAAAAAGAAAACATGGAGATAATCTTCAAAATTTTGGAGTAGCAAACACAGCCACAAAGCACTAGCCAAAAAGACAAAATTGACAAGTCAAAATATATATTGACTAAAATCAAAAGACAGGAAAATGAAAAGACAAGCCACAGACTGACAGAAGATACTTGTAATGAATTTATTTGAAAATGAACTTATCCAAAATGTAAAAGAACTCATACAAATCCATGGGAGAGAGGCAGACAATCCAAATTTGTAAAATTAAAAAACATGAATAGACCCTTTGAATAGACCCTTTCACAAAAGCGTTTACCCAAATGGCCAATAAGCATATAAACAGGTGCTCAACTTCATCAGTCCTAATTCAAATGACAAGGCCATACCACAACCCTCTTTCTTTTCATGAAAAGAAAGAAAAATGTTGTGATGGTAAGGATAAGAAGTAACAAAAATTCTCAATTGCTCCTGGTAAGAGTATAAACTGGTATGATTGCATTGAAAAAATGGCCACAAATGGGAAACTATCCAAATCCCTTTTAATAGCAGAACAGATAATGAATTGTAATACATTTATATAATACCATACAGCAATAAGAATAGATCAGCCATAATACACACTAACAAGAATCATTTCACAAAAATAATGTTAAGCAAAAGAAGTCAAACACGGACTCTAACAGTGGATCTAATGGAATCTAATAGTTGATCTCAAAGAAGCAGAGTATAATAAAAGTAGAAAAGTACAAAAACAGTGAAAGAAATCTGTGGTGCTATAACTCAGGACTATAGTTTCTCTTTGCGAATATAATGATACGAAGGGGGCAAAAAAAAAAAACCTACCACAGGTTGAGGAATTCCCTTTGTGTAGGTATGACTTTAGTATTCATTCCTTCAATCATGCAGCTGGAATACCAGCAGGTCCAGGAGAGCCTTCACAGTATCTCTGCTATACACTTTACCTGCACAGACACAAAAGTGATATGGACTGCTGGGCCAGAGAAGTCATTGAAAAACCAACTGAAGAGGTGTCCACTTGTATCAGAGGGTGCTAATTGCCTATCATGTTCATTGTATGTTTTCTATTTATCTCAAATTGGTTTCCTGCAGGATTTACAACAGTCAATCAAGGAAGTCATGGGGAAGACTGTGGATATTGCCAAAAAAAAAAAAAAGAAGTTGGGAGGGAACAGTTTAAGATACAGATATTGGAGAAATTCAAGAGCCAAAAGAAACCACACCAGAGGAATTAACAGAAGATGACTTGACGGAGATGAATGCTTCCAAACAGTGCCAGATGATAAGAAGTAGAAGAAGCAGTGCCAGAAAACAAGCTGATATTAGGCAATCTGGCAGAAGTGTTGTTCCAGTTATTCAAGACTGCTTTGACTTTTCCTGACATGGATGCCTACTATAACACAGACATTGAAAATAAAGCAAACAACAGAATAAGAATTGATACTGTACAGAAACATTTTTAGAGAGCTGAAAAAGCAAAACAGACAAATTAGGATGAACTTCCATAAAGCTATATTGAGTGCACCTACCTCTCCTGCCTCCCCTTCTACCTTCTGGTTCTCTGCCACCCTTGAGATTGCAAGACCAACCCTTCTCTTCCTCCTTCTCCTCAGCCTACTCAACATGAAGAAGATAAGAATGAAGACCTGTATCATGATCCACTTCCACTTAATGCATGGCAAATATATTTTCTTCCTATGATTTGCTTAACATTTTCTTTTCTCTAGCTTACTTCATGGTAAGAATGCAGTACATAATACATATAACATACAAATTATATGTTAATCCACAGATGTTATTGGTACAGGTTCCAGTAGTCAAAAGTAGACTATTAGCAGTTAAGTTTGGGAAGAGTCAAAAGTTACATGTGCGTTTTCGACTACATGGGTGTAGGGGTCGGCACCCTGATCCTCACATTGTTCATGGGTTGACTGTACTTTATAAGCCTATTTACCCATCTATCTTCCCAAGCTGTGAACTCAAGAAGTAAGAAGACAGTATATTTTTCTCCTGTAACCTGAGCTCTGATGGACTTCCTGGAATTTAGTATGTCTTTCATAAAGAATTAATTAATAACACACCTAAACATGTAAGTTTTAACTCTTCCTTTCCACGAATACTTCATTTATGCCCATGTTTTAGAGTCAACTCTACAACTTTTAACTCTTCCTTTCCATGAAAACTTCATTTATTCCCATGTTTTATAGTTAACTCTACTGTATGCTGGTAAGTTCAAGAATCTGAGCTTATTTGGGAGCAAAGGTTTTATCTCTGTAAAAAAAAAAAAAAAGCAGATTTATTCTATGATAAGTGCTATACCAGAGATATATCCTAAATTCATGCATGCTTTGGTGTGTACGTAGATCATCTTTCCAGAATTATAGATGAAGTTGGAAAATGATTCTTCAGTTCTAGTAATGAGGCAAAAGCACCACTATCATCATCTTCGGAAAACTAAAGCATTAAGTAAATACAGTAGGAAACAAAGGAATATGTAGTACAGAAGCCTATAAAAACTAATTATACCATTATGTTAAGTGAAATCACCAGGCACAGAAAGACAAATAGCACATGATCTCACTCATAGGTGGAATCTAATAGTTAATCTCATAGAAGTAGAAAGCATAATGGTGTTTACCAGAGGCCAGGATGGTTGGAGCGGGGATGGAGAGACCTTGGTGAGGGATACATAATTACAATTAGATAGGAGGAATAAATTTCAAAAAATCTATTTTATAGCAACTTGACTATAATGATGATACATTGTATTCTTTAAAAAATGCAAAGAGTGTAGATGTTATGTACTCTTACCATAAAAATGATAACTATCTGAGGTAATGCATTGCTAATGAGCTAGATTTAACCATTCCAAAATGTACATATATTTCATAGCATCATGTGGTACACAATACAAACAATGCTATCTGTCAAAAAATAATAATTATCTGTAGTATTTCAAAAATTTCAGAGCATCAAAAATATTTGTGTGGGTGGAGGAACAGAGAGCCTCAGGAAGAATAGCTAATGGATGCTGGGCTTAATGCCTAGATGATGGGTTGACCTGTGCAGCAAACCACCACAGCACACCTTTACCTATGTAACAAAGCCGCACATCCTGCACATGAAGCTCAGAACCTAAAATAAAGTTAAAGAAAAAAAATATTCAAGAAGTTTCTGATATTGGACTGTTTTGTCACTTTTTGCTTTGGTCTTAGTGCTTATTTACTACGGGATAAAATTAGCACATACTATTTAATGTGTTTGTGTTAAGTAATATGTTGCTTTCTATGTGTTAATTTTATCTTCTCCAGATTTTTATTACCATAGATCTAAAATGACAAGATTAAGTCCAAGCAGACAGTAATCACTCAACAGTTATTTATTGAGTAACTTAGATTTAAGATTCAATATGAAAGCAACCTTGATCAAAGCTTTCCAGTTCATATAGTGTGAAATAGTTTTTTCCTAAATATGGTTCTAAAAAACAAGCAAACAAAAATCCTCCCCAAATGAAAAACTCCAGTCGCTATTTAGCAATACTACCTTCAATTTATCAAATAGAATCAGCCCAAAAATTTCAACAGGTCAGTGAGATTTAAAACAGTTCAGTGGCAAGAATTTTCAATGAAGTCTGAGTCTAATTAAAAGGTATCACAGATCGCTGTCAAAGTCAGTAACTCAGCAGTGCAGGAATGATTTGGGAGTCCTTTTTAATTTAGACATTTGTCAATCATGATTGCCTTTAAACATCACTTACCCACTGAGCAGGGGGATCCCTGCTAAATTTTCAGAAAAAAATCAAACACAAAAATACGACTCAAAATACATGGTTTTTTCCCCACATATAAAATTCCTATTTTAATAATAAACTCTAGATTCAAGGTTCACAAAATAAAGTAAGTACATTCCTAATTCTTTCTAACAGTTTTTTGGGGAAAGATACTCAAAGTATTTTCTGTTATTTGCAGCGGCTTTAACAGCAAACGACAATTAAATGTGTGAACAAGGTTGTCAGAGTAACACTTGTCATTTACACCGCTGAGGAAAGACATCCACGACTTCCAGAAGCACTAATTAAAATTAACGAAAGCTCCTTATCGGAACTTATCAGAGAGGTATATTTTGTCAGACGCAGGAAAACCAGAAAGCCTCAAAGTTCAAGAGTTTTCGCTCTAAGGTCTAAATCCAAATCACCTACCACTAGGCACAAGCGAACTAAGCCCGGACGTTCAGCAAGCAACTCATTAAGGTTAAGAGGCCCCATCCTTTCCTTATAACACAAAATTAAGAAAAAGACATCGTGGGGAAGGCGGAGTGAATTTTCTCTCAGAAATCAACAGAGAAATGAGCAGGAAAAAAAGTCCCTCCTCAAACACAGGAGAGAAAGGTGCAAGCTACTAACAATTGCTTGATAAGCCCTAAGCCCTAAGGTTTATCGGTTCACCAACCCTTTCTTTAACTCAGTGTGAACGAAGGCACTCAAAAGGAGAAGAACGTTACGTGATACTACCTACCTCTGGCCCCAAAGAACCCTGAAGACCCTCAACCAGGACACAGGTGGGCCTTTCTCACCTGGGCTCCACGGAAGTCGAACGTCCTTACGTAAGAGCACTTTTCAGCAATACGCCTTCCTATTGGTTGGCTCGGGAGGGACGTCTCAGTCCTATTGGTTACGAGAGCCGTGGTAGGGGCGAGGAGGCGGGAGTTTGGGAACGGCTCTGACAGGCCGGAGGTTTGCGTTCCCAGAGTTCCTATTGGGTTAACCTGGGAGGCTTCAAAATGGCGGCAGTGGCAACCTGCGGCGGTGACGCCGGGAGTGTTGGATCTGCGGTGGCGACAGCCAGCAAGAGCAACGTCACGAGTTTCCAGAGGAGGGGTCCTAGAGCCAGCGGGACCAACGACAGCAGCCCTCGACTGGTGTCCATTACGGGCACGCGACCGTCGGTGCGGAATGGACAGCTGCTGGTATCAACCGGGCTCCCAGCCCTGGACCAGCTCTTAGGTCGGTTCAGAGTGGAGATCTGGGCTTAGCCCAGGGGAAACAGGGAGGGGACCTGTCGGGGAATCCGACAGGATTTTTGACCCCATATCTCTCTCTGACCCCTAAACCTTCGGCCGTGGAGAGACTAGCCTGGTCTGATTGAGATGGAGGGGAATACGGGTTGTGTGGAGACTTTTGAGCGCTGTTAACTAAACATGTTTTAAGTGCCCCCGCTCTCTATTCTCGTTCCCTGCCCACTAACCCCTTTTCATATTACGGCGGAATTCGTACATGCTTTTTAACCTGACATGCTTTCTAGTCAAGGGAAAACATTAATTTATGGAGATGGTTTAGCTATTCATTGAGGATACCTCGCTTCTGCTGTCTCCCGGCAGCTCACGATTTAGACCAACCTACGAAAGTTTTTATAATTGGGGGAGACAACCTTCGTTAGAAAATGCTGGGAAAAAAAGGATTTCCCTTTTTTGACCTTCAGACTGCCTATTCTCTGGGTCTAAATTTTAAAACATTTTGACTTTAAGAGAGCGTGTTTGTTAAAGGTTTATGTTGACTCATAATCCTTATAAACTAATTAGAGCCTGTCGTTGATATTTCGTCACACTCGTGTCTGCGTTAAATCTGTGTGTATATTTTTTCGGTTTTTTTTAAATATTCATTTTGCTTCCCAGAATTGATTGCTGCTGCATTCCAAACGACATCTTTAAATTTAATTCACATTTTAACAAGAAAAGGATGTCTAGTTCTTAGGCTTTCTTTTAAAATCTCTGGAATTTTATGAGAAGTCTGCTGAAGAATATGCTTGTTTCGTAACTGTTACATGGAAAGGATTGACCAGATTAGGTTGGTAGGACAGATTTGCTGTGTTAATAAAGCTTCTATATTAATTTCTGTCTGAATGCTGCTTCATTAAAACCCCATCTGTGTTTACATTTCGTAACTTTTTTCATAGTGTGTGGTATATGTCTGTTAAATCTTGTACACGTTCATAAAATATCACTGTCATTGCTTGTTCTTGTACTTTGCTTGACATTTCTCTCGGTTATCTCCTCAAAGTAGGCTTTTCATAGGTTTAGTGCAGAGAAAGTAAGAAGACAAGCAACCAATGAGAAAGAGTATGGCTTCCTGATTCTGTCATTTCATTTCCTGGTTATTTCTACATAAGTTTAAGTATTTTTCACTTAATTGTTTCAAGTATATTTTCTTTGAGTTGCATGGTACTCTTGTTTCAAGTATATTTTCTTTGAGTTGCATGGTACTCTTGTTTCAAGTATATTTTCTGTGAGTTGCATGGTACTGTAAACAGAAGTGATTCAAAATATCTAGTTAGCAAATATTTAGTTCATCGTTTTTGCCTTGTGAGCCTCAATAGATATCCCCTTATGTTTGAACTTTAAGTTTGGAAGCTATTTCTAGGCCTTAGGTATTTTTTAATTCCATAGGATATGTAACTTCATTCACTTGATACTAAAACCTTCCAAACGAAAAGGTTATGTTTCTATTTATAATGTCTTCACTTCCTCATTAGAATAACAAAACCTGCCTAGCATAGTTCCTGGCACTTAGTAGGTTCTCACTAAGTTGTTGATTACAAGAAAAATAATGTGTAGAAAAAATCTGAGACAAGAAATGATGGAATATGTAGGATGGAGTTTCGTGTTTGAGCTCTGAAAACAAATTAAGTGATATGATCAGTCTCAAAAAACCACTGACCATGTGTGCTGATCTTGGCTTCAAATTTAGTGCTCTCCACTAGGCTACAGCTGTCTGAAATTTTTAAGAATTCTTTACAGGGGCTTTTGGCCATTTATTGAACCTCAGATTAATGATTTAACTATCATCTCTTAAAGTACCTATCAAAAAGAGAACCCAAAGCACCTTCTATATACGTTTCTTCAGAGATACAAACTTGAACAGTAATTTTTAAATTTTCCATATTAGCTTGGAATGGGGGACTTTAGTAGTGTATTTAACTGTAACAAGCTTATGCTAAATATTGCTGTTCATTAAGATAATGGAAACAGTATTGGTTGTTGAATACTTTGAAATATATTTTTCATACATGCAGTTAATTCTCAAAATGCAAAGTTGAAGAAGTCTTAATAGAATTGACTACATCTTGAAAAATAAATATGTCCAGAAGTATTTTAGCTTTATCCTCTTAGTGACATTTTTGTATTCCGATTTTCTGTATAAGCAATTTAGACTATGTTGTTATTTAACTCAAGTTGTGACAAGCCCAATATGACCATATTGTGACAAAACATGATAATAGGGTGTTATGGTATTAGAATGGTAAGACTATACTGTGATATTATGATTAATGGCTAAAATATATTATGTGGTTACTGTGTAACAAGTAAATATTATAGCTTCCATGTAGTACAGTGACATTTTACTACTGCCACTATGACATCATTGTGATTTTAAACATAGATGCAAAATATATTTGAAAGGCATCTTACATGCTAGTTGTTACTCATTTGATGATACACTATTTCCATTACTTATTCCAAAATGTTTCAGAAATTTGAAAATTCCTAACATCTGCATCTTTCAAATGTGACCTAATTATATTAAATGTTTTTGTTCTGACAACCTAATTTTATTATGAGATATTGAAATACATTTCACAAGTTAGCTACATTTAAATTTTTAGAATTCTCAGCTTATCTAACCCATGTTCTCAACTTTGCCCTTCTAGGATATTTATATTGTTATTTGAGGACATTATATGTAAATAACACTTATATTTTGGAAAAGGGAAGATAGATGTTCCATCGATTGAATAAATACTTCATTTCTTTTTCAGGGGTTTCCAAAGAAAGATTATAGCAGGAAAAGAATTCTGGTAGAATTCCCCTCTGCCACCCCCATTCCCCATAAAAGTGTACTCCGTGTTAGGACCATATGTCTAACCTAGGAGAATTATCCATAATTTCATCCTCCAGAAAGATGCTTAAAGAAAGGGTAACTGCAGATTTGACCTCTGTGCTGTTAAATTTTGATCGTCAAATAGGGATTTGATGTAAATAATAGTCTAGGAAGAGTACTCTGAAAGGAGTGTGATGGTAGCAGCCATTTTTTAACACCGATGTCAAAAAGTAAACACTAATGGGCTTATTTGCTTTACTATATGTTAATGTGTAGCATGGGATAATATACATTGAGCTTGGACTACACATTTAACACAATCTTGGTTAGGATATTTTAGCAACGAATAAGCTGTACATTTAAGAAAAATGCACTCTTTTATTGCTATGTAAAATTGTTTCCTGTGACTTAATCTACAGAACTATTTTTATGATTCCTAGCTTTATTTTGATTCTCATGTTTACCCAACCAATAATTGTATCATAATGAAGAGTAGTCACGATATTTTATCATGCTCAGGGAAGAAAAAGTAGACTTGTTATCAAAATAACTGCAATTTAATTTGAGGTCCAGCATTATTTCAGTAGTTAAGGCTATTACTGTGAACCAAGGAAACAATATGAACTATGTTGAAACAATATGAACATTTTCCCAGAAATACTTTTTTATAATTTTAAGCAAAATTATTCCTTTATATAGAGCTCTGAACAGACTGGCATAAATCACTGTTACCTTTCCTGACTTTCATTTCTTTTCCCTTTTACTTTCTCTAACATTGAAGAAAGGCTTTCATATTCTAGTGTACTAATTTGACTTCATTTACTCAAAATTATAGCTTAATCTGAGGTTTGTGTTGGGGACAGTGTGGGGATTGAATGCTCTCCTTATTAATACAGTTGTCTTACTACTGTGTGAATTGAAACAACAAAAGCCCCTTTGGTTGTCTTATGATTTTAAAAATCATAAGATAGGAAGATCCTGGCATTTACAAGATCTTAAATTTTCTGATATTATTTCCTAGGTATTAAATACTGTTTCTGGTTTTAAGAAAAAAGCCTGTTTTTAAAGGATGTAAAATCTGGATGAAATTAATTCTTTAAAATGTCAAGCTTGCTGATTATCTTTAGCATTTAAACTCCTGTATTCTTTTGTGTACATGAAGTCCTCTACTTGTATTTTTAGTAAGCTGGAAATAAATACACATCTTAAAGAGGTCCAGAAGTAACACCAAGAGATTATTTCCTGGCCAAGTGTGGTTGCTCACACCTATAATCCCAGCACTTTGGGAAGTCAAGATGGGTGGATTACTTGAGCCCAGGAGTTTGAGACAAGCCTGGGCAACATAGATAAATCCTGGCTCTTCAGAAAATACAAAAATTACCCAAGCTTGGTGGTGCACACCTGCAGTCCCAGCTACTCGGGAGGCTGACAGGGGCAGGATCCCTGATCCTGGGAAGTCAAGGCTGCAGTAAGCAGTGATCACACCACTCCCCCTAGCCTAAGTGACGGTGAGACCCTGTCTCAAAAAAAGAAGAGTTTATTTTCCTTAGTGACTTAGAAAGTGTGTTGGTAATTTTTCTAAGTTAGGCTGAAAGGGGAGAGGAAGTGGTAAATAAGGCCATTTTACTCCTTTTTGTTTGTTTTCATTACAGAAATAAGGTGATTGCTTCGTTGCCCTATTATCTGTAATACATTTTAGTGGACTGTTGGGAAAAGGTATTTCAATTTTAATT